CAAGTCGGTTTTGTTCCGAATATGTCTGGATGTTGTCCCTCTCCGTTCGGAAAAATTTTAGTAAATTTGCCAATTCGTCAACATACAAAATTATTACCAGATAAAGTCAGAGGTTCTTATTTTCTAATTCCAAATCGAATGCCTGTATCGTGGAAAAAATGTCAATTTTATTTCAAAAACGGAAACTTAGCTACCTTATTTAGCTGTATCAAGACGATGCTGGATTTCTCGTTCTGGAAGTTCTCATTTTTTTCCTCATCTCTGTTCGTCTCCACAACTGGTATGGCTAACGGATCAGCATTTGCTAGAACTGTAGGCTCAGTGGAACTGTCAATAATGTGGTTGCCATTCAGAGAAACTTTGCCGACTTCGATGGAACCTCCAACAGCAGAAGGCGTAACAGCTGCTGATGTACTTGACAGCTTTGGGAACAGAATCTGGAATTGATAATGCTCGAATTACGCTAAAACCTTATTGCTCGCCCAACGCTACGGACGACTGATACGCATAAGACGTTTTTTCTGGTTAATTTTGTTTTTCTCTTGTCTGGATTTGTCTACCATCAAATAGCGAAATATGCGGAAACATGATCTGTTACCAACTCTTTCAGGGTACAAGCAGTCTAGGACAAAATAAGCCACGTAACGAACCAATAAATCTGCGTTTCTGCAATATGCTATTTTGCTTGTTATGTTTTAGTCCGGCATTACTAGACAAGGTGGAGCGGAGTAAAAGCATAATGAGTAACAAACGAGTATGGGAAAGGTGAATGTTTAACAAGGAGCTAATTCGAATCACAAGCAGAGCGGCGAAAATTTAGCGGGAGCAGAGAAAGAGAAAGAACAGAACACAGTGATAACAAGGGCATTACGATATCCATTAAAATGAAGAACAAAAAGTCGGCTTCATTTGGATTGGTACTTCTCAACTACAGTACCTTTCAACGCATTCTCAGCTAGTTTCTCCTTCAGTTCAAAATAAAAACGCATAAAAACTATGACGTGTTGAAGCAAGGCTACATATTACCCGATACTTGAAAGAAGACTACTTTTGTGAAGTAAAAGCAAAAGTCCCTATGAAGTTGCTGGGAAGGATATTGATAAGTTAGAAAATCCGGCTCGATATAAGTCGGTCAAAACTAATGCTATTAGGAATGTTTAAAAAGTGGAAATGAAGTTCTGAGTAAAACATGCCGCGAAAATATTTGGGGAGCCGAGATTTAATTGATCTGATGGTGAGTTCACCGATGTAGTAGCTCCTGAGTTTTCTCCAACTGACTTTTCGGTTTGGGGACCAAATTTAGTGCTTTTGATTGTTTGTAGTTGATCTTTTGGTTCCGAACTGTTTATTTGTGTAGTGGTTGTCTCTGAAACTGATGACGAAGCAACGCGTTCCGCCACAACTTCAGAATTCTCGCCTTCTTTTGTTTCCCTTTTTACCGCACTTGTAAATTCCGGCTCCTCCTCGTCATTCACGGACTCGCTTAGCGATTCCGAAGCATTTTTCGAAGAGGCCGTAACCACCGCCAAAGAGGATTGCTTGAAATCGCTTGTTACGCTTGTAGGTGACGATGACGACGCTGATGATGACGAGAATGTCGACGTTGAAACTGATGATGATGGTAGGGCTGTTGATAACGACGACGCGGACGATAGCGGTGTTACTGTCGATGCTAAATTCCTTGTCGATTCTGGTCTGATTTCAGAAGACGATGGTTTTCTTTCCTCTTTTGGCTCTGCTTTGGAGACAGCTCCATCTGAATTTGATGTCGTGAGTTCCAGTGCTTTTTCTATTGTGATTTTCTTAGGCAGCTCTGTAGATTTGATAAAAATGGTAGTCACATTTAACAACGTTGTCGATTTTGCCGGTAGCAATTCTGAAGAATTTGTATTTAAGCCATCAACTTGAGACGTTGTTTTCAACGGAGTATCCGTTACTTTTGTGGTTCCAGATGTTGTTAGCGTCGATTTAGGTGTTGCAGATAATTTTTCTAGTTTTTCTGGCTCCTCGGATTTCGTCTTCTCAGGTTTTTCGGAACCCGAAGTTGTCGACGACTCCAATGGTTTGGGTGACGGAGATGTAGCGACAGTTTCCGCTTTTGGTGCGGTTGAGCTTTGAGTTTCCAGTTTCGGTTTTGTAGACTGAGTTTCTTCATTCTCAGGACTCTTTGTTTGTGAAGCTTCTGTAGTTGATGAATCGCTGACTACCGGTGCTTCGGTTTTTAAGTGATCAATTTTGCTAACTTCTGCAGTCGGCTGCGTTTCTGAAAAAGGACTTGTCGGAGTGTCGGCGGATTTTTCTGTAGAAATATTGGACCTTGGCTGGGCTTCCTGGCTTTTCGAAATCAGCTCGATTGCTGCTGTTGCAGGTATTGCACTGACGAAACTGGATGTAGAACTTGGAATTGGAGCTTCGGAGCTAGGAGCTGAAGGGGTTGTTGTTTCTGAAATTTCGATATTTTTTGGTGCAGTTGCATCGGTTTCTCCAATTTTTGCGCTTGGGTTTGGTATTTCTTCAGTTCTGGATTCGGTCGATTTTTCCGGTGAGACTGTCAGTGTTCGAAATTTTGGACTTGTTTCAGCTCGTGTTGTTGATTCCACAAAATCCTCACTTGCTTTCGATGTGTCAGGAAGTGTTCCTGACGTACTTGACTTTGTAGTTAAATCATTCTGCACCGTAGTGTTTTGTTCTGCAACAGTTGCTGACGAAGGACTTTCCGGATCTGAAGATAATTTTACAGACTGTGTAGTTTCTTTTTCCTGTTGCGTGGCTTCTTCACTTGGAGCAGTTGCTTCCAGCTGATCATCTTTTATCCCCGAACCAACGGTGGTTGCATAAGACGAAATGAGGCTTTCTGGAGATGTTGTTGGAAGGCCTAAAAAATACGATAAACGATTGTTCGCCTTAAAAGGTGGAAAGTAACATTTTTGAATTCTGAAGATTTACTAAGTTTTTGTTTAGTTTTTATTTTTTTTGTCTCGCTTCAATTATCTGAATTTAATATGCTGTGAACAGCAGCCAGTTACAATACTAAGAAACCGTCCGAACAATCAGTATGGGTGTCCCACATTAGTGACGTTGCAGGAATGCTCCCACACACCAAGCGCAACTAAAACAGGCCTCTTGATCGGGGGCTTCATAATACCAGCTAGCCACCTATTCGGAGGCTGATCAACTAGTCCTTTGCTTTTCACGGATGCTTTTGTATCAGATAAAAATGTTTATCATCTTCAGTACAAATTTCAGTTGTCGTTTTGTGCACAAAAAATCAACACTTTAATCAAAATTTAAAAATATTTGGCATTTTTGCAGCATGGAAAATAAACTGAAAAGGCGAAATTTGCTGAAAAAAAATAAAAGTATTCAAAATTTTAAAACTTTGAGTAGCAATGTATGTTCCTGCTTTAAAAAGACAGAATGCGCAAGGATGGATAGCGCAAAGTCTTGAGCTGTGCACTAAAAGGAGTACCCTGGTTTTCCAAGCTGGTTGTTTTTTCGGCCACAGTTGCCACTGTTGCCGTTTGTTGCCATTCTTTGCTACAGTTGCAGTCTTTCGAATGTTCGTGCTCTTTGGCCAACTGCTTCCGAGCCTAAAAACTGAGAATACAAATTAGATAGCTCGTTGAAATTCAGTGATTGGTAGCGTTTAAAGTTTGAGAATTGGTATTTGCTTGGATTAAACAAACCCAGTATTAGTGACATATTAAGCTTTTACTTACCTATTCTCTCTACATAAAATTTTCTAAGACAAAGTGGCTCGAGCATAGTTTTGAAATTTGAAAGATGCAGTTTTCGTATTTGCTAAACCTTACCTCTTCATTCTCTAGTGAAGCGGTTTCTGGATTCAGGCACTGCTTTGCTTTGTCGGCAATTCTTTTTCGCAGGCTCAGAACTTTGCTGTGAACTGTGGAATTCAGTGACACCGATGCGGTACATCTGTATATTTTTTTCTTAACACATTTTTCAGGATTCTTGCAACCAGAGTTACGTTTTCAACTAATAAATTATAATTCCATGATTCCGAAGTCAATTCAGCCAATTTTTTTAAAGCATTTAGTTCAAACCTACTTTGATAATTCAATAATCGCGGTGTGTCTTTGTGCAAGCAGCACAAAAAATGGTTACGAATTGCATCGATGGTACGAGATGAACTACCTTTTTCAGTAACAGTAAAAAATTATGCCACAGTTTTTCTTAAAAGATGCAAAAGAAGTTTTAGCAGCAAAATAATCCAATTGTCAGTGTTACATATACAGTTCTCTTAGCAAACTTTTGGTACTATTTGGCCGAAGGGCCGTCGAAAAACGTAAAATAAAAAATGCAGAAGTTTCAAAAAATTACAACTTTTCAGCGTTTTAAAATTGTATTTTATATCTAACTAATGATAATTTTTACAATCACTTGAAATGTTGGCGCTTTCTTTGTTATAGAACTACCAAGTATTTACAAAAAGAATTGAAAAAAAATTTCCTGCACCTTCTTGAAATGTTTTTTATGGCTTTTATTTTTTCCTCTTTTAAATGGGCTTGATGAGAAATATTTTTTCCAAGGCACTGATTAATTGAATGTTTAGCGAATTTGTAAATTACGGAGAAAATAAGTTACATATAATGATTCAGTTAGTAAATTAGCTAGTTA